TGTTGAGCCAGAGGAAGGAGAAACGATTGAGTACCGTGAGGATCGGTTGGCGTTTGCCGCCATATTACGATCTGTGCCCCCAGAGATGCTTGCGTCTCTCTCCACCAAGCGCACCGCGCAATCGGCCTGGGAGGGAATCAAATCCCGTCGGGTCGGTGTACAGCGAGTGCGGGAATCCAACATCGAGCAGTTGCGGAAGGAGCTCTCGGAGATCCGCTTTAAGGACGGTGAATCTGTCGATGATTTTTCAATGCGGATCACGGGGGTCGTCTACTCCTCACAGAGGAGGAATGGCTTGCACGTCTAAAGCTCCGTGACAACACCGGCCAGAGCAACGGGTCCTCCTCCAGCCGCAAAGACGGTAAGAAGCCATGGATCTCCCACGGGCNAAAAGAAGGAGTCGACCAATGGCAGGCCAATCTGCTCGAACTGTGGGAAGAGAGGACACCTAAGCAGGAATTGCTGGAGCAAGCTTAGGAATAAGGAGAAGGCCGAAAAGGCCCATGTGGCTCAATCTGAGGAGGACGAGCCAGCTCTCTTCATGGTAAGTGCATGTGTCCCCATTGTCGATTCCAAATCCACGGAAATGGAGGTAATCAACAACGATGTTGAACTCGAGAAAGAGCTCCAGCTGGGCGTAGCAAAGGTGGCACCAGCTAGGGAGCCAATTCAACTGAAGGAGGAGCGAGTGTTCGCTCAGATCAGCGAGCGGGATGAGCCACACAAGGACCGGCGATGGATCCTAGACACAGGGGCAACAAACCATATGACCGGGGCTAGATCTGCTTTCTCCGAACTCGACTCGGGGATCCGCGGGACGGTGAAATTCGGCGACGGATCCGTCGTAGAGATCGAAGGACGCGGCACCATCTTGTTCGCCAGCAAGGGAGGCGAGCATCGCAAGCTGACCGACGTCTACTTCATCCCGAGGCTCAAGGCTAACCTTGTGAGCCTGGGTCAACTCGATGAGACAGGCTGTTTCATCTCCATCGAGCGCGGACTACTCAAAATTTGCGATAATCAACGACGGCTGCTCACACAGGCAAGGCGCACGACAAACCGTCTTTACATCCTGGAGTTAGAGATAGAGCAACCTGTCAGTCTCTCGGCCAAGATCGAAGAGGTATCTTGGAGGTGGCACGCAAGGTACGGGCATTTAAACTTTCCTGCTNACAGAAGGAGGAGTTAGTGCACGGTTTGCCAGCAATCAAAGGCGTGAACAAGCTGTGCGACGGGTGCCTCATCGGCAAACAGAGGCGCACACCCTTTCCATCTCGAACATCCTATCGAGCCGATGAGTCGTTAGAGCTTGTACACGGAGATATTTGCGGACCCATCAAGCCGGCGACCCCAGGCGGTAAGAGTCTCTTCCTCCTGTTAGTCGATGACAAAAGCCGCTTCATGTGGCTGACCCTGCTGCAAGCGAAAAGTGAGGCGGCAGAGGCGGTTAAGTGCATTAAAGCGCGAGCGGAGGCCGAATGTGAGAAGAAGATGCGAGTGCTGCGCACAGACCGAGGCGGAGAATTCACCTCGACAAGTTTCGGTAAGTACTGTGACGAAATCGGCATACAACGGCACCTAACGGCGCCCTACTCCCCCCAACAGAACGGAGTGGTGGAGCGCCAGAATCAGACCATCGTCGGGACAGCAAGGTCATTGTTGGTGACGGCCGGGATGCCTGGGAGATTCTGGGGAGAGGCAGTAATGACGACCGTATATCTCCTCAATCGGTCACCAACCCGAAGCCTTGACGGGAAGACACCATATGAGGCCTGGTACAACAAAAAATCAGCGGTACATCATTTTCGCGTGTTCGGCTGCGTCGCTTACATGAAGGTAACACGTCCCCACCTCGCCAAGCTCGATCCTAGGGGGCTAAAGGTCGTTTTTATCGGCTATGAACCCGGGAGCAAGGCGTACAGACTATATGATCCTGTAGGGGGGCGAGCTCACGTGTCACGCGACGTCGTCTTCGATGAAAGCACCTTCTGGCAGTGGAATGACGTGAACGAGGCAGACCATAATCCAAATCAATTCACGGTGGAGTACCTCGTCACTGAGCCGGAAGAAGGAGGAGCCCAGCATCAGCAGCCGTCACCGCCGCCAGCAGGTGCAACCCCTGAACCAGTGGAATTCGCAACACCACGGACTGCGGATTCGACGCTGGATGCCGATCACGATACTG